GTACATCCGTCTAGTTGCAAATTGTAATCCAAGAGATTCTGTGTACCGTTTTTTTGGTCCAATAAGTAATATCTCTGTCTTATCCGAATTTTATAGGAAAAAATTATTGGTCATCCAATCTTTTACATTTTTAACAGACTCTGTTAAAAATGTAGAACTAATCCCGTATTTTATAATAATAGTTACCAAGGGGCAACATGTATATTGAAAATAGCAGAGGACCTAGGACAGATCCTTGTGGCACTCCAAATTTTGGTTCTGGTGATAATTGAGATGACTCCCCATTTAAATGAACAAAGTGGTTCCAGGTGGATGCTGCACACTGGTGGTGGATGAGGAGATACCCCCTGACAATATTAAAGCGCTTTGAGTGCCTAGAAAAGCGCTATATAAATGTAATGAATTATTATTATTATTAGGATCTAAACCATCTTAAAGCCTGCTCTTGAATACCCGTAAAGTTTTGTAATTGATCTAGGAGTATGTCATGATCTATAGTGTCGAACGCAGCACTAAGATCAAGTAAAACTATCACGATGTTACTGTGTGGAGCACGGAGACGAAGGAGCGAGGAGACGAGGAGTCGAATTCAAACAAACAAGCTTTAATGCCATCCAGGGAACAAGGGAAACACACGTAACACGGGTAGACATGTACAATACTGGACAAAGGAACTCAAAACATGGAACACTATTTAAAGACATGACATGAGGAGGGGATGACGAGACACACCTGGGATCAATGGAAATAAAACGGGGGAACATCTGGAATCAAATCAACATAATCAGGACAGGAACAGGAAACTAACCAAATATGGGCATAGGAAGGTACATGGGGAGCAAAACACACACAAAACACGGAACAAAGTCTGACAGCAACATTAGTGTTAAGTTTTATATTTTCTTGTACTGTAATTTATGTTAAATAATAAAAATGTTAAAACAGAAGTTTGTTTTCACTAGCTGTCCGGGATCAGGAGCCCTCCCTGGGCTAAACGGGGAATCAGGAGCCCTACCTGGGCTAAACGGGGAATCAGGAGCCCTCCATGGGCTTAACTGGGGATAAGGAGCCCTCATTGGACTTAACTGGGGATAAGGGAAGCGCTTATGAGGTGCTGGCACTGGAGGGAGCTCTGGTGGAGCAGGCACAGTAAGGCGCTTTCGAGGAGCGGGCACTGGAGCGAACTTAGGGGCTGGAGCCGACACTGGAGCGAGCTCTGGGGCTGGAGCAGACACT